CCAGCAGCTCCCCCCCTCCCCGCCCCCTCACCCGCGCTCCCAAGCTGCAAGCGAATTTAGCAGTTAGGGTTAACTCACCAAGGTTGGAGGTTCGAGGGGCGCTGGAATTTGGTGCACAATGTGGGCTGGGGGAGCATGGCTATCGCTCACTCTCCAAGAAATGCTGTCATGAATATCTCAAAAAAGTGTAATTACTCCCGCCCCACTGTCCACTCTCTCCACACAGACAACCACGTACTGCACCCTCCGGAAATCAGAGCTGGGTCCTAGCCTGCCTACCTTTACCACAGACAAGTTCCTTAGCCTTTTGATTCTCAGTCATCCTTTTGAATGGGAATTGTAACCTAGTAAGGTTGTTGCAACGATTAAATTAAATAATGATGTCGAGTCTAATTGCAACTATGTAATACACAGTGAGGAAGTAGCTGTTCTCTTCGGTAATGAGAAGCTTTCTGGGGCCACCATCGTGGTGGAGAAGTTCGTCTAGAGACAGAAACAAATTTCTCACTCACAGTTATCCATTGGTTCCACTGGCATTAACTTTGTGAATGACAAACTAGATCTTTCCTTCTTCTGCCCCACAGCTGAAGACTGTTCTTTCATTCTAGTTCATCACTCCTCGTGGTTGTCATGGCTCAAATTCTGTCCTGTATATTCAAATCCTCATCTAAGCAGTTCATCATCCCCCTCCAGGTCCTCTCTGGCTTGCTACCTTCTCTGTAGTGTGCCCAGGAGACAGGACTGGATACTTCATACAAAGACCTCATTACCCAGAGGACAGCACTGGTTGGCCCATGGTTAGAACCATTTACTTGAATCTTCTGATTTAAGGAGACTTCACAATGAGCTGTGGATTCCTTTTCCCTTTCTTCCTTTCTTCTTTCCTTTCCTTCTTCCTTTTTCTCTATTCCCACACACTTTTGGACAGGGTCTTGCTAGTAGTACAGGTTGACCTTAAACTCAAGATCCTCTCTTCTCAGTCTCCTAAGTAGTTAGGATTACAAGTCTGCACCTCTTGCCTACATCTCTTCCTTTTTTTTTTTTTTTAACAATTTTTGTCTAACCAGATTTCTCAATCCTATTCTTATGTAACCAACTTTTAAAACCTAAGCACAGGATTTATCACTTTTCCTTGGTGAATTTAATCTTGCTGGTTTCAACCCAATTTTCCAATCTGTCAAGGCTGCCTTGAATCTGCTTCAGTCACCCATTGTATTGGCCCATCTGCAGAATGAAGAGTGGCTTCCTTTGCCTCTACTCGAGGAACTCACCATGACGCCAGCCAGCCAGCCCAGGGTCAGGATGGAGCTTTGAGACACTCTGTGGAGATCTTCAGTTTTAGCAGAATTGTTCAGGTCTAAATCTGGATCTCTCTGATCCAGCTCACATTTCTGCCTTGTCTATAAGGACACCTGCCAAATGCTTTGCTGGATCAAGATAAGTGGTCTGGGGCCAGCCAATCCCAAGGTTGGAGTGGAGAGGGAACTGGCTGCTGTTCAACCATCATGGCTCAATCTTTTCTTAAATGTTTACTCTCACCCAACTAGAAACCGGTTCCAGAACTTGTCATGCATGGATGTCAGATTGTCAGATTCTTCTGTTCAGAATTTATTTATTTATTTATTTATTGGTGCCAGTCCTGGGGCTTGAACTCAGGGCCTTGGCTTTTGTCCCTGAGCTTTTGTGCTCAAGGCTAGTGCTTTACCACTTCAGCCACAGCTCTGCTTCTGGCTTTGTTGGTTATTAATTGGAGATGCGTCTCACAGGCTTTCCTGGGTGGACTGGCTTGGAACCGCAATCCTCAGATCTCAGACTCTGGAGGAGGTAGGATTACAGCATCCGACTCAGCATCTACTTTTTTTTTTTTGGTCCAGTCGTGGGGCCTGAACTCTGGGCCTGGGCGCTGTCCCTCAGCTCTTCAGCTCAAGGCTAGTGCTCTACCACTTGAGCCACAACACCACTTATGGCTTATTTCTTTTTTCTTATGTGGTGCTGAGGAATCGAACCCAGGGTCTCAGGCATGCAAGGCAAGCGCTCTACCACTGAGCCACCTTCCCAGCCCCTCAGCATCTACTTTTTGTGCGGTAAGTTTGTACATCAGTGGCTTCCCCACCATTTAGTGTCCAGTTCAAACTTCTACCCATGGTCACAAGATATGCCCACTTGCCTGCTCTCTCCCTACTTCTCCAACCTTATCTTTGGCCCTCTGCCTGGCTCCCCTCTCCTCAGAGCCATCTTCCCCGACCATGATCCAGAAAATGGCAATGTCCCATTACCCACATTCATTCTATCACTGTCTCCTTCCCTTCACTTCCACATACAGCTTTGGCCACCACCATCACATATTGATTTCTTGGTTTAAACGTAAGTCCCATAGGGCATTTGTTTCCATTCCATCCTGGCACTGGAACAGCCACAGCACATGGTAGGTGCTCAGTAAACACAAATTAACAAATCATTGGGATACCTGGGGAGCCCCAGTTTTGTCTCCCAACTCCATTCTATGCAGCTGGAGGGTCATCTTGTAACCTTCCCCCTTTCCTAACAGAGGGCCTTTCTCAGTGGAGCTCAGGAGGCAACATCTGCTGTCCCCGCCCTGGCATGACACTGCCCTCAGCCTGAGGAGGACTAGCCAGCCTCCCTCTTTCCCTCCTCACTCTAAACACAGGTTTAAAAGCCGATTTGGGGAGAAACAGGGAAGCATGTTATTTTCTCATGTTCTGCATCATTTGGAGGTTTATTTACCCCAAAGCATGAAATATATACTTCATCTATTTTTATTTTGACAGTACTCAGAACTTCATGCTTGTTAGGCACATCTCCACCTTTTTTGTTTTCATTAGTTTTGATTTTGCCAGTCCTGGGGATTGAACTCAGCTGCTTTTGCTCAGGGATAGCACTGTGACCCACAGCGCCACTTCCTGCTTTTTCTGTTTATATGGTTTATATGATATTGGGCTTCATGCATGCTTGGCAAGCACTCTACCACCAGTCCAGGAAGCAAACCCAGGGCTTCATGCATGCTAGGCAAGCACTCTACCAATAAGCTCCATTCCTAGCTCCTCATTAGGGTTTGGATAAGGTTTTTTGTGCTTTTTGTGGGGTTTTGTTGTTGTTGTTGTTTTCATTGTGGGGCTTGAACTTTGGGCCTGGGCATGTCCCTCAGCTCTTCAGTTCAAGATTAGCACTCTAAGCCGGGCGCTGGTGGCTCACGCCTGTAATCCTAGCTACTCAGGAGGCTGAGATCTGAGGATCACGGTTCAAAGCCAGCCCGGGCAGGAAAGACCGTGAGACTCCTATCTCCAATAAACCACCAGAAA